TACTGCTTCCGCACGTCAACCAAGCCAGCTGTCTTTAATTCAAGACTGGTGATCGCTTAGCTTACCCTTCCACGAAGGCCTAAAACACTAACAATCCCACCAGCCCTGCACAGCAGATGCGCGAAATATATTCAAATTTAAACCGGCACACAGTCCATAAATGAAATTCAGGGAAGGAAGCACCACTTTCTGCCGGAAAGCAGCAATCTTATAGACGTTGTCGTTCGTTCCAACTGAATTTGATAGGAATGTCCAACACCACGCGTATGAACGCCGTATATTTGTGTATAGGAGACTTATTGCTTGGTGCCTCAAGGGAGCTTGTTATCTGACGTTTATCTATGTGATGCTCGTGTGTTGTCCGAAGTGGATTCTCCTAGGCCAGCGATTTTCAATTAGTAGAATTGCCTTCATAAACATTCAAATCATCTGGTGCTGTGGGTCAATTGCTTTCGCTAAACCAACTAGCGGCGTAATAGGAAAACCACCGATCTGATGAGCAGAGTTTTTCGTGATGGCGATAATGAATAGGAAATATAATGCTCATCATCCTCGCTGAGATAACGAGCCTTGCTGGATAACTGTTTAGCAGCAGTGGATGTCACAAAGACATCGGCTCGAATCATTTGTAGTCAAAAAAGAGCAGGTCGCGCCAACTCTTCCAAAACTAACTCGAAGCAAAATCGGTGGACAACGGGTTGCTGCTACAGGCCAGTGTTGACATAGTATGGAGGAAGATCTTCAAATTCGCGAACAGCTTCAAAACATCGCTTCCAAACGTAACAAATTAATGTGGCTCTTACATTCACATCTCTCGGCCATTTTTTCCATAAATGAGCTAAATGGAATAATTTAATGTTAAAATTAACAATTAAGAAAAACGATTAAATATAAACAGTTCAGTCCTTAAATTGTTTTTTGTGAGCCCTTCGTGAGGTCGCCCTCCCTCCCCCCTCTCCCCATTTTTAAAAATCAAACTGTAAGGCATTCTATGTTCATTTCTGAGGGAATAAAACTATTTTGCACTGATTTATTTGACGACATTTTCTACTTAGTAAATGCCAATATTAGAGAAATCTAGGAAGAATCGTAATTTCTGATCGTGGCCGAAGTTTTGATTAAAAAGCTAGCTGGATTTGAGAATAAAAGCTGAAAACATTCCTGTTCCGACTACTTATCTCTATTTCATTCCGTTAGTTATAAAATAGTTGATGTCTCGAAAATCTGAAAGGTCACCAAAGAGTAAAGCGGGTGGACGAAATTTTATCTACGAACATCTCACGTTTGCATTGGATCTGATGCAAAATCGTGCAAATGTGTTGAATATACTATTAAACCATTAATAGTGATGATGAATTCCGATCTTATTTTCGTATGCAACACAGTGCTTTTACTAATGAGAGCGTGCGGGTCTTTCTACTATTATTATAATAGCGTGGCGACTGCTGAATCCGCCAGGCCCAAATGCTGCCGTATGTGCATAGTTGACGACATCATCATTCTAAGTTACCCATTTGACTGAGAACCATCGCAAGTGGAATAAGATATGATGTCGTTGAGCGATTTTTATCAGTTTTCAGTTCAACATCAATTGGACCAAGCTCTATCAGGAATCGATGGAACCCGAATATGCGTATCGAGCAGCGAAAGGAGATGTGAGAGCCGTAAGTGATGAGGCAAAACATTATTTGTATATATACCTAAATGGGGGGCGCGTTTAGCGAAATGCTTAGGGGCGCCCTGCAATACACATGGGATAGACCTCCGCGCCCCAAGCACAACAAGCCTTTTCTCCCTCCGGGTTGGCGAATTGGTACCAGACTTGTCCGTGACGATAGCAGCACTGGCTCAATACATAGGTAGGCCACCATGAGCCATTTTAAGGAACAGATTTGCATTCACTCACCTCTAACAATGCTTAATGAAATAGAATGCATGGCGCATCTCTTAGGGGTTGATCAACGCTGAAAGCCTTCTCCTTTTAGGCTTTAAATGCTGAAACGAAAAATATGTGAAAAAAGCATTACAGTGAAATTGTATTACGGATACAAGAGGCGTAGTGATTAGAGAAGCCGTTCAGTACACGCATGATCGCAGGTGCAAATACCATTCCGAGCCAATCAAGTCCATCTTTTGTGGATTGTTTAATTGGAGCCAGATTTGTCTAGAACAGTCAGGTCACAGTCGCAGTAAATAAAAATCTTAGCAAAATTAGTTCCAAATGATCTGAACTCTTTTAGATCGTTAGATTTTCATTTACGATTTATTACCATAGTGCTATTATGGGGTGCAGCTTTATATGTTGCTTTACAAAACCTTTCCGTAAAAAGCGGAACATAACTTTTTAACAGAATCAGCACTAGCTGACTTTGGCGGATTTAGCGTTCCTTATACCCTAAAAAGCTCAAATTGATTGCAATCTAGTCAGCCAAATACGTGATGGTTCATTCGTGTCTATGTTCAGCCCAAGGAAGAGAAGGTTTTATTCAAGACGACATTTACCAATACCACACAACGAGAACAAGAATATTCGTTCAAAACTGAGCGATGCACAAGGTGGGAAAAGACTATTCAGGTGACTTTTTTCCAATAAATTGCAAAAGTAGGTAGATGGAAAATAAACATAGATACTTCTTCAACCTTATTCCTTCCCAACAAAAACGGAAGTTTGTCGTCACTTAACTAGACATCCACATGATTTCATTACAACGAACATTTTAACTGTTTTTTTTGTTCGTATGAACATGAACTCAGATTGCCTAAAAGATAACCATAGTTGTAGCTTAAAAAATATTACTGGTACTCACTGTGGTTCATTCCATGTTTCTTTGCATCCATATGCTTCGCTCGCTTGCATTTCCTTTCGGACTATCGATCATTAAGCATTGAGGCTCTGAGAAATTGACAAGAAATCTCAAGCAAGTGATCTCACCATTTATCTGAATTACAGGAGTACGTCAACGGTGATAATCGAGAAGGGCGTCTGTCGTGGAATGGAAGTGGCATTGAAATTAAAAACACCATGCGAAGTTGTCGAAGCAAACGCCGGCTTTCACCAAGAAGTGCAACTCAATCATATTGGTGAGGTTTCCCTTCCACATTGATCGGTCACTCCCTGACCGACGGCCGAAAGTTTATGAGTAGGTTGTTTCTGTATTCAAAAAGCCTGGAAGACTTTCCTCACCAAATTGAACAAGATGCAAAGTACAAAATTCGACCACGTACCAGTAAGGAAACGTGTATGCGTTGTCCTGCTTGATGATAGTTTTCTGGCAGCAGTTTTCTTCGCACGCTCTTTCATCCCTTCCTTCTTTGATTTAGCAAGGTGCATACTCTTTTTTTGTTTATTCTAACCATTCTTCTTCTTGGATTCGTTGGATCCTTTTCAATTTCTGTATAGATTGCTTTGCATCTGATAAAAACGAAGAGGAAAAAGAAAACGATATCGCTTATAGGTGAAAATACTAGCGAAGAAGAGTTATGTTGGGGTGTCGACAGTTGTGTCAGAGTGCCTCCTTCATCGGAGACCGTAGCAGAGCTCGTGATTCTTGAGGAGCAATGCAAAAGGGATTTCCGCATCGAAAACCGTATGACTGGCAAGATTCTCGTGACAGGTATTATCACTAGGCGTATCTTTTAGAATATTAAAAACTAAAGCCAAGGGATACTACTTTCAATGGCAACGTTTAAAACTACCACAGACCATTTCATAAGAAAATTTGCTTGATCTGCTGTTCAACTGGTTAATGAATATGGAATCATATTAAAAAGCTCTAAACACCACTAAAAATTCTCTGCCATTTCTCTTTGAGTGGTCTAAACCAGAGCTGAGTGCAGCCATCAGACAGCGCTGATGGTTATTCGCCCCCACTTGATTTCATATGCTGATCGAAGTACTCGATTCCGTATGTAAATTTCAACGTGACAAAGGAGACCTCATCCAACAGTGTCAATCACTGCTGTATGGACTATAAGTGTCGAGGCTATGACGAGATCACGACGATAGTTGTGGAACGTTATTTCTTTAAAGTAGAAACGCCATTGATTAAATTTAGAGTTATATCCGCCTCTGAAGAAATCGTTATTGGCCGTTCATTCATAGAAATTCATCGTTTCGTGCAATGACAACGTGAAACGACCAGGTGTCCTTTAGTACACACATCATGTTTGCTTCGAACTCATCCCGAGGAAACTCAGTCCTCCACTTTTTCGGGCTAAGGCCAGAATGACACGTAGTCTCTTTCGAATAATTAAAATAATAACTTAATACATCGAAGCAGCCCTAGAGTCACTGTGTAGATCAAATATAAATTCAGGCACTTTTATGGAGCTTCATAAAGCCTAATAATTTTATGAAGCTCCATGACATGGCATGACATATTACTTAGGAATTGATCAATGCCGAAAAGTTGTAGTTCGTTAATGATAACGTAGACTATGAGCACTATATCTATGGTACCCTTTATAAGGGTGGGAAAAAAGTGACGAAACTGCAGCATTGAAATAACAACAGCAACAGCACCAATAGTAATAATAATATCAGTAGTGGTAGCAGTAGCAGTAATAGAATGCTTAGAGCAATAATAACATTGGAAAACAACAATTAAGTGAACAATGCTCTACGTTGACCAATTTTTCACCGATATGCGTTGTCCATGGTCCTATCAAACACTACAATACTGGTTGAATGCATATTTCACCTATACATTGACTATCAGAGGCTTACCAATGTGCCAATCCAGTGTTTTTGCCCTTCTTCCAACGGTTTACTGCCTAATAGTGGTTGGGAGGTGTTCCCGGGTGTCAGGCAGCGATGTGCAAAGGGGGGATTCATCTGCCCCGGCAGGGCCTCCGAAGCTGAGAAGCAGGCCGCCGTTTCCATTAGGAAGCCTAGCTAAGAGTAAGCCAATACCAGAATCCATCACTGCCCTGGTATCAAAGTCGCATGGTGGCAAATCTCTCTCTGATCCACAAGGTTACCAATTTATCTACACCGAACAAAACGGTGGATTGGTTAGGGGTAGGGTCGTACGAACGACCCCTTATATATTGTACGAAGTACAGACGACCACGACCATATCGCCTCTAACCACTGCGCTAAGCCTGCTCTTAACAATGGTAATAGTAATAGTGATATTATTGTTATTGCAATAAAATCAAGTTGTATTTGTAGGAAAAACGCGGAATTTGATCCAGGTGGTAACAAATTCTTTGGGAAGGAGAAAAGATGCTATCCAAACCGGTTGAAACGTTAAAATTCGATAAAAAATAATTGAATTTTCTTGCAATACACTTTGCAAGAAAATTTCAGAAACAATTAAGATTTTTCAGTAACCAACCTGAAGCAAAACAATAGCTTGGTCACAGTGATTGAAGGCAACATCGCAGACATCATCCGTGGCATGGCAAATTATGCCGCGAAAGGATTTACGATCGATGGAAATGTGAGTTAAGGAGACCCGTAATAATTACGGTAGCGATGTGGTTGATTTGGCGAACTAGTGATGGTAAATGAGCGACGACGACTATCATTAGTCTTAGATTGCTAGTTTGCGGGGCGATGAACCTCATAGAGTCTCTGAGTGACAACAAGAGAAGTTTCCAGAAATGGCATTGCCCTTTTTCCTTCATATTAAAGTGTTAAAGCTAAAAGTTTCTAAAATTAATAAAAATGATTGACAGAAAACTAGCTGAGAGAAAGGCGAAACGAACGACGCGCATGGTGTGGTGGTGAAAGCGTTAGTCACCCGGTAAGAGTAACGGCGTGTTCGATTTAAACCGAAGACACCTGCTGCTCAGAGTCTTGCAAATAACCCAGCATCAATATGACTGGTTAAGAATGGTTAACTTAAGCATATTTTGGGTATCAAAAAAATATGGCATAAATTTTAGTTATAGTTGTAGCTCACAAAAATACGATTACTTTCCGACATTCTTCCCTCTGGTTTTTAACCCACAAAGTTGATGATTTTGTGTAAGATTTTCGAACCAGGAATCGCTTATAACTTTTCAACAACTTATGAATAGCCTCCGCAAAATATTTCACTTCCGGAAATGAGATTATAAAATGGAGGCCTTTCAGATCGATTCACAAATACATTTAGGCCGCTTCAGCCATTGATGGTTGCCTAAGTGTTAGCACAATCGGTTAAGAATCATCGTCAGCTTTCACATTAATCTGTCTCATACCTCTCATTTATTGCCTATGGCACACGTTTTTGATGAGCCACATTTCGGACACCAGATGTTTGTCGATCGAAACCGCGGCCGCAGCGTACAGCTTAGGGTGGCGTTGGTGACGATCGAGGGGCAACTAGTCACGACCTGTCCTCTCACAGTAATAAGTGCCTCGATCGGCCTCAAACTCCTTTGTTGGCATGTAGGGGAATTGCGTCTTTACGCGAGCGCTAGTTGACATGACTTTGAATGAATGCATTCTGTAAACACTGTCAAAAGGGTGACAATAGGCTGGGGACGAGCGACATTTGGAATCTGTGTCAAAAATTTCTGCTCCATCTGCCTTCTGTTTACGCAACTTTTTTAAAAATAACTTTTCAAGGTTCATCAGCTAAGTTAGTAAGCCTAAACTAGAAAGAAAGTGGAAGAAATTTTGCTTTCATTTTATGTTTTCTATGTGGCCTCTCTTCACCTATTATAACCATATCAGCCCTTCGCTCATTGGTTTACTTTTCTTGCCTTCGTTGTGCCCGCAGGTTTTCATATTTACACGTTTAGCTGATATTTAAAAAGATCGTCTTTTTTGTCGTGTCATTTAGTGCGAATCGAGTTGATTCCTACTCGAATGTGCTAAACTGTTCACTGTTTTTCATCACAGGTAGTAAATTAGAAGTAGCTTTTCCAAGACAGATCGGTTGCTGCATTCCCAACTCTGGAAGTGGTGGCTTAGTTGGCGGAAGGTGTCGTCGAGTGAACGATGCTCTATTTTCCAGCATCTTAGACAACGCCGCTTTCCAGTCCCAGGTGGAAGAAATTAACTGAGAAGTGAAGGTTTTTTTAAGATGAGGATGAGGTTCACATGCAACAAATTAGGTAAAAATGCGTGGGTTACCAGTCTGCTAGTGATTGTAAGAATATTGAGTTAGACTATGTTTTTTCTATAGATAGTAACTGTCGATTTAGATTTGCTCCTTGCCGTGCATTAGGAAGAAAAAGGAGCATAGCTCGGCCGTAGTAAGCCCACAAGTAATAACAAAAATTTCTGAATAAACCACAGCTGTGCAGAAAATCTTAGAACCATAAGGGCAAATAGATGCATCAATTTGTTTTCTCAGTAGAGGTCTATGGAATAAGATGTAGCAGGTGAAGAGGAATTATACTATTCGTAGCTTGATTATGAGAAAGGTATTTTCTAGACGTAAGGGAAATTTTCCGTCAATTTACACTCTTTTATTTAGGTAAATTCTCAGATACCGGAAGCGTTCTGGAAATAGCCTTCAGAAAGATAGCTCCCTCAAATTCCATTGATCTTTTTTTCGAGAGTGCCACCGACTACTAAATATGTTAGGCTAGGCGGTTTCCCTGCTTTCGTGATCAAGTCTGCAACATATGCCAGAAACATTATGGCATTAAAAGTGAGCGCGGAGAGGTTTCATGGGTATTCACATATAATATCAGCATAAAATGGCTGCGTTTTTTAAAACCGAGTATGACTTAAACTAATAAAAAGGTTGGTCCTATATAGGGTTGTTTTTGACTTTGATCCATCTTCTAAATTCTGCAATGCTTTCCTTTCTTTATATCCTACATCACAGTGATGCTTAGATATTTGCAAACGTTGGACCCCACACCACATCGAACCCCGACCACCCTTTCCGGGGACTTTGCCATCCCTAGCAGAGCTGGAATTAGTGTGGCTACTAGCACCAGACTTGTCCTTCACTTCGCACTCGAAAAAAGGTTTATGATAAGCCCATTGAAATGACAGTACCATAGGAATGGTCTTCTTATTTATAGTAACTATACCACTTAACACTTCATGAATTTTCATGTATTTCGCATAATACCCTGTCGTCAGAAAAAGTAACAGGCGCTAAATAAAATTACACATTGTGATTCATGTCAACATTTAATATTGATAAGCAACGCGGTTAATTATGTGTATTAACATTTAAAGTATGACTAGTGTTATCGGCAAAGTCAAGCAACAAACGAATAACAAGTAGGCCAGTAGATTTGGCCTGGTTTGGCCCTGCAACCTTGGAAGTGTAGCGATTCCCACCTTCAACTGGTACTTTGTCTTCATATGTTTATCATGTGCTATACTACTACCTCTGATGAGGTTTACATTAGTAGTATAACATGTCGACCATCGACCTGCTGTTTGTTTTAGCCCTAAGTAGTGGTCATGTTTTGCTAATATCTTTCTTATATGTTCAAGTTAATCTCGTTCTATCGCTGTAAATGTATTGATATTATATAATAAAGTCCTAATTCTGCAAGTACGAGATCTTTTATTACAAATAAATCGAAGACATCTGCAACGGCAGAACGCATCACATAACAGTCGAACAACTCCACTTTACAATGCGCTCGTCGAGAATTGAAACCGGGTCACTTGCGTACTTGGTACTTGATATTTGAACAGCCGGTCATCACTAATTGTGCGGGCCCCAGTATAATCACCGTTTTTCGGAGATTTGCTGGTTAAGCCATTGTGGTTCCCTGGAATCCCGAGAACAGCCTGGCCAAAGTCTGCCTCAGATCGTCACCACGACAGGCAGTCGCAGCCCTTGTGGATCAGAGGGAGATTTATCACCATGCGACTTTGATACCAAGACGGTGGTGAATCCTGGTAGTGGTTTACCCTTAGCTAGGCTTCCTGATGGAAACGCCGAAAACGCCGGGGTCACCTGCGTAACAGACGAGAATTTTGCTATTGAACTACCAATGCACCATGAAGTTTGAATGTTATGTGATTCACTCTGCTACGCGGGTCTTTTCAACACTGTCGTAATGTGAAGCGTCAAACCTAGGTATTGGACATTTATTGTACAGTACTAAAACATCAAAATCATCAACATCAAAACATCAATACTTCACAAAGAAATCACCGTCAATATTTGCAAACGATATTAGCAAAAGATATCTGTTACTGAAAGCTAAAATGAAGTGTAAGTCGATGGGACTACTGTACAAGCTTGATTAAAATGATGTGAAGACGTGGCAGTGAATTAGTAGCAATAGCTCGGTAACTGATCTGGCGTTTTGTTTAATACAGGTGAGAGCGGTAATCACTACCGCAGCAAGGTTTTTTCGATAGGGCAAGATGAAATTGTATATCTTACTTGTTCTTGAATTATAGTTCCACTTTTTCGACAGGTCGCTATATCTTTTGTGGGCCCCACAACTTTTCAGTGGTTTGCATAATACTTCGACGGTGGTAGTTTGCATCGTTTCGACATTATTAAATCGATTTCGGTTGAAAGTTGAGCTTTTCTTAATAGTACAAGATAGTCCAGGGCGTTCCCAGGTTTTCACCATTAGTAATCCTAGGTTATTGTGTATCAGTAGAAATTTTCTCATAGAAGTCTGGCATCAATTCACCAGCCCCATAAGCATTGGGAATTTGATGTGCCTGATGTGGGCCAAACTAGAGACCATTTCCGCATCACATGACATCTCAGACCACTGCACTACGTGTTGAAATCGCTACCACTACCAGTGATTAAAAGTCCTCAAACTGCTTTTGTTAAGTATAGGTTTGTTTTATCAAACATTCACTTTTTAGGTGGTGAAATACGAGACAAAGGGTACTTGTATATTTCGCTATGGTGTAGAACAAAAAGTGAAAATCAACGAATCGTCACTTCGATCATACTATAAATAAGGCTGGTTATATCTCAAAAGAGTGACGATGCCCCAGCAGCAGTAGATCCAACGGTATCTACAGTATCTTGACTTCGTTGGTTGTATATATTTCAAGGTGCCAAGATGATTGTAATTCTAAAGCAACTACTTCTGTTAACAGTCAATTTGCTACACTATTTTTGTTATCGTTCAAGCATTACATTGTCATCGTTAGGATTCTTCTCTTCACAGTGGGGCGATGTACAGTTTCGAAACTTCTCTAGGTATCTATTAGGTCTCTTCGAATTCGCTTAAGAGAGCTGCACTGTTTTTATCATCATTATACTTTAAGAGCCGAAATTAGTATCATTAACTGTGTCAATGATTTCTATATTTATGTCGCCCACTTTCCAGGTGATCCGGTTCATTTGTTGCCTATTGTTATCTTGCTTTAATTGTTCTACTTTATGAGATATTTTTCCTCAGTATAGTAAAACTGTGTTATTGACCCACCTTGTAAGGTGTGTGATAAAATGTTTGGCTTTGATCAATTCCACAAGCATGTGGTGTGCAATTGACTTCACCGCAGAGGTGATTGGATGCATAGTTGCTCTATAGAATGTGTTGTGGTGTTCCATCGATATATCAAGTCATTGTTTTTACCCAATGATACAGATCTGGCACCAGTTTTCTGGCTAGGGAGGCGTGGAAAGCTTGGCTTGCTGAAGCCACCAGATCAAACAAAGAACCAGGTTTATGCTGCATGGTAATCTGTCATTATGCCACCCGAGCAGTATCTTTATAGATGTATTTCAACTAAGCGTGGAGAAATTGTGTCATTGAGTGATATGAGAATGTGACTCACTAAAGAGTTTGCTTACTGAAGTGTTTTATTCCAGATTGCTCATATATCCATTTTGATTCGGCGTACGGAATTATCTACGTGTAATAAAATGATGGATTTGGCTTGGATCAAACAACTTATGATGGTGATATGGAATTTGTCCAACCATTACCACCCAATAGTGAAGTGCTGACACCACCGACTCTCAGGAATCAGCGGAAATCAATAAAAATTCTCTGAGTTCACGATTCTTAAGCAGAATTTAACACATAACACCTGTGCTGTACATAGCACAACGTATTTGATGCCAAAACAATATCAGCTGCAAAATATAAACAAACACGCCTCGACTCACGCTAAAATTTATCGGAAAATAAAATTCGTTAAAGTTTACTTACTTACTTGATACTTGAACGGCCCATCCTAACTGATTGTGTGGAACCTAGCATAATCTCCATTTTTCGGAGTTTTGCTGGCTTAGGTACTGTGTTTCCTTGGGGTCCCGAGGTCAGCATATCCAAAGTCTGCCACAGGTCGTCATCACCACAGGCAGTCGTAGCATTTGAGGATCAGAGAAAGATTTGCCACCGTGCAATTAGTCTGACACCAGTGCGGTGGTCGATTTTGGTATTGGTTTACTCTTAGCATGACTTCCTGATGGAAAAGCCGAGCTTCTTCTCAGCTTGGGAGACAATGCCGAGGGGATGAATCACCCAACTGTACAACGTAGCTCTGCACCCAGGAACACCTGCCAGCTACGATGAGCCAGTAAGCTGTTGGAAGGCAATGAAGTTTATTGGTCCAATATCAGAAATTAGAATTTCAAGTTTTTGATGACGAGATACAAGTTATTGAAGAGTAAGAAGTGCAGCGGTAGTGATCCTATTTAGGACGCGAATGACCGAATCTACTACAGCTCTGGTTCGACACCGCTCCAGCACAACCGATCCATTCATCTCTTGGGAGCCGCAAAATTAGTACAGGACTTGTTTGCGACAAGATCACCTGTCGCTTGTCACCTGTCGTCAAGTTGATCATCGAGTGACTCGAGAAGGCGCCATTAAATAGTTCACTTACCCTTGTCTCATGCGGGAACGGCCCAGTGGCTTCTGTTCGCTCTAGGAACTCGTTGAGAATCATACCTTCCTTTTACGGCTTTCGTGAGGAATTCTAAGCATCGGTTCAACAGTCTTTCTATAGTGTGCTTGATACCCAGAGAAATCTTGCCACTCGCCACATTTGTCCATCAGTTAACGTTCTTACGCACCACACGTCCATTCCACATTATCTTCGACAGCTTGGCATTTAAAACAGGTCTTTAAAATATTATCGCGTACGTAGATTACAGCTTCGTATTTCCTCTTTCACTTGTGCGTCGCTTTCGACACCGTCTGTTCTATTCACGTCCAGCAAAGTTGAGTGATCTTTCATCCAGCTTACGTAACGACCGGGTTCCATAAGCATACATTATCACCTGTATCACCTGTAGTCGCGTTGATCTTCGAGTGACTCCAGCGGGCGCCAGTAAATCTTCCATTTTTCATTGTCACNTTAAAACAGGTCTTTAAAATATTATCGCGTACGTAGATTACAGCTTCGTATTTCCTCTTTCACTTGTGCGACGCTTTCGACACCGTCTGTTCTATTCACATCCAGCAAAGTTGAGTGATCTTTCATCCAGCTTGCGTAGCGACCGGGTTCCATAAGCATACATTATCACCTGTATCACCTGTAGTCGCGTTGATCTTCGAGTGACTCCAGCGGGCGCCAGTAAATCTTCCATTTTTCATTGTCACTTGCAAGACTGGTCCAGCGGGTTCTGCTGGCTCTAGGAACCCCTTGAGCACCATATCTTTCTTCTGGACTCTTCGTGAAGAACTCTGACCATCGGGTCGGTGGCCTTACAGTGCGTTTGACATCTCCAGAAATCCAGTCACAAACGGTTCTTGTCCATCGGTTGTTCCTCATACGCATTACGTGTCTGGCCCACCTTATCTTCGACTGACTGTTTAGCGTACAGAACGGCATCTTTGTTTCTTGATTGTTGACGCAGATCGGAGCTTCAGATTCTTTCCCTTACTTGCATGACAGGGGATACTCCTATCATCGTTCTTTCCACTGCGCGTTCAATAACGCTGAGTGATTTTTCATCCTGTTTACACAGCAACCAGGTTTCTGACGCATATGTTAACGAAAGAAGTGTCTTGAGTCGAAAAGCTGTGCACGGAGTGGGGTGTTCTTTAGACTCTTCACTACATCCTCCATGCTCTTGAAAGAACAGCAAGCAGTTCGTTTCATTCTACTCAGCTCTGGAGCTAAGTTGTTCAACAAATTGATTTCCCGACCTAGGTAGACATAACTGAAGCATTCAGAGATATTCGTTCCGTTGAGCGTGATTTCGGCAAACGAAACCAATCCGTTCCTCATGAAGATCGTTTTTATGAAATCTAGTCGAAGATCAATCTTTCCACACCCTTTATCAAAGTCGTGAAGCATACGTTCTGCTTGGCTAATGTTTGGTGTCATAACGACGATGTCATCAGCAAAGCGAAGATAGTGTAACTGCCGACCGTCGATTTTCACTCCCATATTAGCCTATTCCAATGTTCGCATGACGTTCTCAGGATAGCGGCATATAATTTTGGCGAGATGGTATCACCTTACCTAACCCCTCTTCTGACGTTGGTGTTAATATTTCAAAACCGACTTTCCTTGAACCTCGGTATCACTAATCAATATGTATTCATTTTTTGATGAGCTTACACGAGGTTGATAATGATATTTATTTTCAGCTAACGTTTCGACGTCTTCGTCTTCCTCAGAGCCGGTGATCCGAGTCGATGGTCCACGCTTGCTATTCGTCTCGACGTGGCAGCTTCGCCTTCATGTCAATGTTAATATCGTTGTAGAATGGCGATATCTTGGTTGAGAAATTATTGTACAGCTCACCAAAAATTTTTGTGTATTGAGCAGGAATTCCTTGACTATTAAGGGCTTCCATGGCTGCTCCAATCTGAATTGAAACAAAGGCCTTCTTTAAACCGATGAGAGTGAGATAGAGCGGTCTTTCGTACTCTCATGATACTTCGAAGGGTTTTATTATTATGTGGATGTGGTCCATAATACTAAATCCTTTTCGAAACCCTGCTGGCTCACATGGCTGTTTTTCGTCCAGTGTGCTGTCAATCCTGTTTATGACGACTCGAGTGGAGAGTTTGTAGACGACAGGCAACAGGCAGATTGGACTATAGTTGCCGATATAGTGTAGATCACCCTTCTTGAACAATAACACAGTCTAGTTGGTCTTTCACTCAGTGGGGAACTTGCATTCAGACAGGTAACGTATGAAGAGGCGAGCCCGTGTGTTTACGAGGACTTCCGGAAGGTTGTTCAGGTGTTCTGATCTTATTCTGTCCGGAGCTGATGCTGTTCGATTTTTCACCGACGAAATGGCATGTCGGATTTCAGAAGGGAGAACCGGTGATAGAACATATCTGTCCTTCTTTATTTCATATGACGAAAGGTGGACATGGCTATCGAAGAGATCTGAGTAGTGTTCGTGTATGATTTTCTTCATTGCCTTTCTGGACGCTGTAACTGTTCCATCTGGCGTCGGAGTTCAATCATCTTGGTCTTACAATTGGCAAAGCTTCGGTGGGCTTTGCGAGTGTTTTTCTCAGCCTCTGCAGCTTCGACTATAACTGCTGCTCTTCTCTCTTCAAGATCTTTTTTTATCGCCTAACTGCATTGTTTTGTAAGTTCGGACTTTAGTTCA